TTACTGATGTATATTTTTAAATATTGTATACAATTATTGTAATAACAATTTAATATATGTATGTGAAACAAACTGATTATATTTTAAATGAAAAAAAGCATAAACTACTAAAAATCAGGTACAGTCATATCAGCAAATTCTTCAGCTTCCTCAGCAGAATATTGATTTGAAGTGTCATAAATATCAAAACCATTATCCTTTACAGGAGTTTCAACTTCACCCAAATCTTGCTCAGAAATTTCGGATAAATCATCATCATTTCTAAATGATGGATTCAACCAATCCCTTGGGTCTTCCGCATCTTTTGTTGCATCTTCATACCATTTTTCAAGAGGTCTACTATTTAAAAATGCTATTATAATAATTGACATATCATCAGTGCAAAATCCAGATTGAGAGATTAAATCACATAATTTGATCAAGTCTTTGCAGGCCAATTCTATTAAGTCGGTTGAATATTTGTTCTGCTTCATGTAGCTTAATAGAACTTGAGTTGGCATTCTCTTATATACTCTAAGACGATTCGTTATACCTTTTTTTTTTTTTTTTGCAAAATTAAAATATTATTATCTGATAATTATACAATGCAGTTTATGTCATTAAATAAACCTTACCATCGGAGCAAAGAACTAGTAAATTTAGATCTTTGGCATTATAAATTTTATCTGCAAATTCTGGTTCGGCTATAAAAATAATTGTAGAGCATAAGTATCTGAAAAAAAAAGTCAAATAGGTACTTAATAACGCTTAAGAATGTTTAAGAGTACTTGCCGATCAAACTATTTTTAGCCTTATCTTTAATATAAAAATCACCAAAAGATCGTGTAAATTGCATTCCACGACTAAATGTGTTATCCACTATTTTTTTCCATGCAGATAGATAAGAAATAAAGAAATAAATAACTATTTCTCGCATTATTAAATGCATTACATTCTCATGCTATATACTAACATGCCCAAAATTTTTCTCTTCTCCCTGGCGCTAATCGATATATCGAAAAACTCGAACCATTTTTTTTTTGGGCCCTCAGGCGTAAAATTTCGGCTAAGTAAAATAATTATAGTAATAAATCCAATGTTTTCTTGTGAAATCAATGCTTGAGAGTGATAATTGTATAGCCTAAATTTACATACTTTTATTGTGTAAGTCATGTTCTTTTATAATTTGAATAGAAGCTCCCTTATTTTGCGCTATAAAACATGGGGAATCTCCAATATAAGCCTAAATTGTAATTGATTGTTGCTTTTACTTTATTTAAATATTCATT